ACCGTTATGGCATCTGACACCCCAATGGCACAAGGTTCAGCATCACAGCAACCCCAGCTTACCTCACACAGAAGAATGCTGTATCACTTAGAAGAATGTTTCTCCAAAATATAGTGACAACCAACTTTTAAATACAAAAGCCTTCCCTGAGGGCTAAACAAGACAAGAGGCTTAAATAAAAACAACCAATATAGTATGTTGTAGTTATGTGCAGTTGAGTCTGTTGCGACCCTATGAACAGCAGCTGTGAACCCTTCCCTGTCCTGAGCCAGTCTCACTAATTCCAACAATAAAAAATAATAATAATATTATTTAACAGCCTTAATATCTAGGGATCTTCCTGCCTGGCCTCTTTTATAAGGGGTAATGTGCTTTGAGATTTTATAATCAAGAACTTTGCATTTTGATTGCTTAAGAGATTTTCACAACCACACCACTATTCACTGAGGGACAAAAATTCCAAAGTTCACTGTCACTGTCAGAACTGATTCATGTCTATCCTTCCATTGTTTCTGCATCTGTAAGTCACACTAGAGGAAACTGTCCCTCTTTCTCCTGCAGGATCGCTGGTGGATGTGAACCACTTGGGAAGTACAACCTACAGACTAGGCCATCAGAAATCCCTTAGTCACTGAAAGTAAGTAGAAATGTTACAGGAGAAGTATGAGGAAGACAGACTAAAGGGTTATTCAAACACTTCTGGTCCTGAAATTGGGAATGTTGTTACTTGGGTGCCCCCTAGGGACCAAATTTTTTTAAATTAAAAATCTTCAAGGAATGTCTTTTCTAAATAGTCATTAAACAAATACTTATTAAGCACTTGTGCTCTGAAGGTATGGGTGATTAAAGTGTGGTTCAAATCTACATAAAGTCCCACTGGAGAAAGATGTGACAGTCAGCTTCTATACAGATTTACTACAGCCTTGCAAACCCTACAGGGCAGTTCTACTTCACCCTGTAGGATCACTGAGTCAGAATAGGTTAACCATTAGTGTGTGTGGTTTAGGTATTTTGATACGTGCCTGGCACAATGCTCAACACTGGAGATACAAAGATAAAGGCAAGGTTCTGATTTCTACATGTATATCTTCACCATTCAAGTTTTTTCTAAGCACAATAGTCAGAATGGCTGTATAAAGAATACTGCTGTTGGGTGTCTGTTGAGTTGATTCTGACTCATAGTGACCCCATGTGAAGTTATGACACAGATGATAAAACTTTCTGGTGCTACAAAAAGAAATATGGAACAGATGTAAGTGTTAGTCATAATGTGTTGATATAAACAAAATGTTCACAAAAAAGAAGAGCCTTAACTATCCTTCCAGCTAATACTTGCACAACTGTGGTCATTAAAACTTTTGATTTTTTGGTTTTTTTATTTTATAAGCTACTGACTCCTGTCTGAGCATTTAATTCTAATAAAAGAATTACAATGATTGACAATGTGGTCAATTTTAAAAAGCCAATTTAGTACCACTGGACACAAGTTAGAAACAATTAGCTAGAAAATTACAAAACAAATTGAAACAAGCAATGCAAATATATGCTGCTAATTCAATTCTAAAATAGCTTTCAAGTGGTTTTATTCTGAACTCAAAACAGTTTTCAGAAGATAGTAGTTTTGCTTTCTTTCCCTCCTCATCAGGGTCTGACAAAACAAATAAAAGGGAAAAAAATCTGCATTTGGAGGAAAATAAGTAGGAGCTGCGGGTAACCACATCTCATCCCCACTGACAAACCTCAGGGGTGCTTTATCAAATAAGATTATCTGCAGGTTCCATAGACAGGGGCTGAAGATGTGCTTCTGGCAGTTAGGTGCTAGGAATCAAGGTGGTGGTGGTGGTTATATGCTATCCCGTTGCTTGCAACTCATAGCAACCCTATGTACAACAGCCCTGCTCTGTTCTGTGCCAATCTTACTATCTCTGACAGACCTACTCCCATTACCCCAGTCACTGAGTCAAATCATCTCACTGAGGGTCTTCCTCTCCTGCACTGTCCCTCCACCCTCCCAAGCATGACATCCCTCTCCAAGGACTGGTCCCTCCTTGCAACATGTCCAAAATATGTAAAACAAAGCTTCAGAATTCTTGCCTCCAGAAGAGCTCTGGGTTGAACCTGTTTGTTCTCCTAGCAATCTCCAAGGACACAATTCTCTTCAGCTCCATTTTAGGTATCCAGTAAAGCTAAACTGGCATGGTAGTTGAGAGAAATTAACCTTGATTTATGATTTTTACCTATAGAAAAAAAATTTGGTTCCAAAAATCCTCTTGATTCAGTTTATGGGGTTTTGGGGTGTTGATTGTTGTTGGGTTTTTTGTTTTGTTTTGTTTTTGTCTGTATAAGTAAAATATTGCATTAAATTAGACTCTAAAAAAATTTACTTAATCAGGCACAGACATCTAATGCATTTATTTTTTCAGTTAATTAAAAGCCACTGATTCATAGCCAACTGTAGGACAGAATAGAATTACTACGCAGGGTTTCCATGGCAGAAAATTTTACAAAAGTAGACATCCATATCTTTCTCCTAAAGCAGTCTGTGGGTTTGAAACCCCCCCCCCCATTCTGTTAGTGATACCACTGTTGTTATGAGCCATTGAGTCAACTGTGATTCACAGAGACCTTATGAACAAGGAATCTGAACCTTGCTTTATCTGGTACCATCTTCACTGTCCAATATACTGGGAACCCAATGTTACAGTCACCATGTCAATCCATCTTGTTTAGGATCTTCCTCTTAAGCTGATACTTTTCAAGTATGATGTCCCTCTCCAAAGACTTGGCCCCTCCTAAAAATATGCCCGAAGTATGTAAGACAAAGTTTCACCATCCCAGTCTCCAAGAAGCAGTCTAGTGGCACTTTCTCCAAGACAGACTTATTTGTTCTTTTGGCAGATTCCACAAGGACATCTTATTTAGTAAGCTAGGGGACAAGAATTGCTAGAGTTTAAACTACTTGGAATTAGTTACTATTAGCTTAGTGGTATTTATAGAAACCAGAATCAAGAGAAAAAAACTGATGAAAGAAAAAGTTTAAAACTAGGCAGCTCATACAGTTGTTGAAATGATAACTAATAACAGAATGTACTGTAGAAATGCTAAATAACAATATAATACATCAACTATATTAGCCCATCATGGAAATAACAATCAACAAGATTAAAATATCATCAGCCATCACTGAAATAAAGAATAAACATTTGTTACTGAATGGGTTTATTTCTGATTTTTAATCCAGTGGAGTAATAGGAGTATTATTAGTTTGGGTGTGGACCGTTAAAGCCACATTATAAACTGGAAACAAAATATTCAAATGCATTCAAGTGTAACAGTCATAAACTAATTTTTTTTTTTAAATACTACTGTTTCAGAGTAAAAATAATCTCAGGAATCAGGAAGTCTAAAATAGAGAAAAAATTATTTGCATTTGTCTGTATGTGCCAGAGATTTTTACATACTTCTCACTTAGTATTCACAAATGCCATATGAGATAGATATTAGTTTTACCTTTTCACAAACACAGAGACACAACTTCAAATAACTTCTCTGGGTCTAGAGAAATGGTAAATCAAGAGTCCAGGTTCGAACCCACACCTGTTGGACTATAAAGCCTTTGCTCCTAAGAGTCATTTTAAATATAAAACAAAATTGGAAATATCCCACTTTTGAAAAAATGAGAAGATTCAACAAAAATTAAAAGGGAGAGAAACATTTTACATATATATTTATTTTTTGGGTAATAATATATTACTCCTACATATGATCAGTAATTACAAATACAGCTGTGAACAATGAATAAGACGTTATCATCCACATTTTCCAGATATTCTATAGAGAATAAAATATAGGACAGAAATTGTATGTACATAAAGGAAGAGAGTAAAAGCCCACCGCTATCCTCGCCATATCCTAGAAGACAGAAAGGTAGAAGTACTTCAGGAGTTTCTCGGTCAAAAACGTTTGTTGATCACCAAGATTCACAGTAATTATTTTTTATAATCACCCACAACCACTGCTTGAGACTTCTGTTTTTTATATGTGGGTTTCCTTCTCTCTCAAACATTCCTCAGATTCTTCAATAAGAGTTTTTTTTTAAACGTCACAAAATCATTGCAGCTAACCACTTATCTGCCACTCCGATTGTAATGAAAATTGAGCTGGTAATTTCATCAGGCCTTGAAGCAATAGCAATGTAATACTATTTTAGAATTGGGAGGTACTTTATATTTTGGGTAAATTAGAACGCACAACATCGTCTTCTTTTACCTACTGGGTATCTGAGACTTGAGGAAAGGAAGTGACTTGCCCAAGGGCAAACAGTGAGTTGGCAGCAGGGCCAGAGGTTGACGCGTGATCTCAAGTCTACCACTGCACTGCTTTTCCAACGCCTCAATCTCAAAGCTGGCAATGCCCAAAAGCAGGTCAGAAAGAGCTCTCCAAAGATCACAGAATTCTTAAAATCACAACTTGGCCCAGGAGACTCTAGTATAAAATCAGGTTTCAGAATTTAGAGCGACAGAAAGCAGGAGTGGAGAAAATATTTAGACAAACCTTAAACCAGTGCCTCCCCAGCCCCAAAGGCAGCTGTAGGCACAAATCTGCAGTCTTACTGCATTCATTCACAATCAACGACACACTGACCTCTGTGCTTTGGGAGTTCCTGGAGGCTGGTCCTCCGGGGAGCCGCTCTCCCAGTCAACCTTTTGAGACTAATTCGGTCTCCAAATGTAATTAATGAGGAGGTGCGGGAACAAAGCGGCCCCAAAGCTGCCCCCTCCACGCTAGGCGCCCCAGAAGCGGGCGAACATGGACTACGAGTCCCATCACACTGAGCTCCTGCAGACCCTCAGCCACAGCCACGCAGGCGGCGCAATGATTGTCGGGACTCGTAGTTCCTGGCTCCGGGGGTGGGGGGACGCCGACGGCACGCGCGGAGCACAGGCCGGCCCCCACATCCCGTCTAGCTCCAAAGAGCCCATCAACCATCCAGGTCTCACCTCGACGATGCGAGTGCACTGGGTCCCCTTGCCGGCGCCCGGCCCGCCGAGGACGAACACAACCAGAGGCTTCATGAGGTGGTGGACGCAGGGAAGAAGCAACCGGCGAGTCAGCAGCGGTAAGCTAAGGCTCAGGACGTGCAGCAGCTGGGAGCGGCAGCGGAACAGCATACACTGGACCTCAGGACTATGCAAGCTGACAGCGGCAGGAGCGGCGGAGCGCAGGGCGGGGCTGGGAAGTGGCGGGCAGAAAGGGGCGGGCCGAGCTGGCTCCCGCCGCGGCCCAGCAGCTGTGGCAGCCCGGGCATTCACACCGTGGCCGGAAAGGGAGGGGCTTTCCGGTTCTCTCCTGGCGGCGGCGCTTCGGGGACAATCCTCTCGCTCGGCTATCGGCACACCCTCCTGTCTTCCTCCACTCTTTGATTCGTTCATACCACAATATATTTTCTGGGCCCAGAGCCAGGCTCTGTGCTGGAGGGCCTTATACACTGGAAGGTAAAACCTCTTGTTTCTGCTCCCTCCCACCCCCGATATTAACTTCCAGCGGGGAGCCAGTCGACCTGAGCAAGTGAACTCACAAATAAATACAAATAATGATAAAAGTTCTGAAAGAAACAAGTGGAGAAGTAACAGTGCTCCCTTGTTAAGAACATAATTTGGTTAAGGTGGCCAAAGAAGGCATCCGAAGAGGTGACATTTGATAAAGACATAAGGATAGAAAAGAGCAAAGCCAGGCAGACTGCAATAGAATGTGGTTGTTATGTCTTCAGTAGTCTTCTAGTACTCATAGCAACCCTCTGAACAATGGATCTGAACCCTACCTGATCCTGTGCCAGCCTCACCATCTCTCAAATGCTTGAGCCCATTGTACAGTCGCTATATTAATCCGTCTCCTTAAGGGTCTTCTCCACCTTTCCCAGCATAATGCTCCTCCCCAGGGACCAACTCCTAAAAAACCCAAAGTAATTTTGAGACTGAGTTTCACCAACCTTGCCTTTCATACAATACCCTGGTTTCACTTTCTCCAGGACAAATC